GTGCAGAGAGGAGTCACCAGTGTGCTGAACCTTAAGCTGACAATGTGGACATTTAGGAAACACTGATCTTAGGGATCTGAAAAATGAGCTGAGATCCCAAGACCATTAAACAGGATGCATGTTCTGTGTTGGATTCCACCTGCAGTTTCCTTGGGGGACATACATGGGCCCCAGGGATGGTGACACTGAAGAATGACAGGTGGCTTAGGGTGCAGCCTGAGGCAGAAGCCAGGTTACAGTAAGAAAAGGAGGCAGGCCTCTGGAACCCAGCACGCCACACTCTGAAGCTCTTTGTCTAACTTCCTGGCCTCTGAAAATCTGCAAGAATGGCCGGAGGCTTGCTTGGGAGAAGATAGTAACTGCTGTAATTTTGAAGATTCATGTTCTGTGGGCCTGGGCCAGGCCTGAGGCTGGGGCAAGGTGCTGTCCTAGTCCATAATCCCAGTCCCAGGAATATCTACAGGAAGCTTTACTAGCTCCTCATGTCCAACCTGCCCTGGAACATGGGATGGGTCAGGTATACCCCTCTTTGAAGCTTTCATTTTGGAAACTGACTATCACAGGCTCATGCAGCAATGCACAGAAGTTACTGCGGTCATTAACCATTATGCCCAATTCTAACCTGACCTTATTCTCCTTTCACAAGTGAGCCAACACAGATCTATACAATACATGCCCTTGATGCCTCCTTGCCAACAGCTGACAGAGATCCTACAGATCACACTATGGCTGAGGCCTCTTGTCCCTGGGATGCCATACCTATCACAGTGGCATACCCCAGGCATTACATGTATGTTGCAAGCAAAGCTGTAAACAGTGCCCCACCCCAGCAAAGCTGGTCATATCCGAGCTCAGCACTTATGATTATGCACAGAAATGATGCTGATAATGTACTGTGAGCAAGCAGCTCCTGTGGAGGTTGACTGTAGGAGACTTTTGTTATTTCTTAGTGGGTCCTTCGAATTGTACAGAGAAATCTGACAGCAAAGCAGTTGTAGTGTCCCATGACAGTAGCCTCATCAAACATCTTCTCATGTTTGCACATTGCACAATGGTACACTTGCTTGTACATTATCACCCTGTGTTGCATTTATCAAAGCACACAAAGGGGCCAAGGGAATCGGACTGTGTCTGTTCTGTGTGAAGTAGCAGCAGCAGCAGTTGTGTGAGGTTGGCTTTTCTGGAGCAGAACATGCCAAACAGCAGTCTCCTGCCTTCAAGTCTCCTGGTACCTGCAGACAGCCCCCTTACAGGGAGAACTCTGAGTGGTGGACTTAGTCTGAGTTCACTTCCAGGGACAGAGAAGTGTGCTTTGTTTCGTTTTCTGGGGAGGTCTCATCTAGCCCTGACTGGCCTTGTACTCTTCTTATAATTGAAACTGTTCTTGAATTCCTAGTCTTTCTGCATCCACCTCCCAAGTGCTAGGATCATAGGAATATGCCACCTGGCATACCCTTGCCAAACTGGGAAGGTTTTACTTTAGGGGGGACTTCAAGAGTCCTCCACTGCTCTTCTTCCTTTACAATACAAGCCTGAAGCCCACTCTCAGATGTGATTTATCAAGGCACTGGGAAACTTCAATTTCAGCACCCTACCACAGTCAGACTTCAGAACTGCACTGAGGTTTATACATGGTGCAGAATATGGGGCCTCTGATAGCCTGTGACTGCCTGATGGGATCCTCCTTTCCCTGTTGCTCTGCCAGAGGCAGAGTCTGTGCTGTGATGGGCTTGAGTAAGCTCACATACTCCATCCATAGAAAAAAATTCTGACAAGGACACGCTGGCTCCAGCAGACACTCAGCCAGGAGAGCGTCCATCAGAGGCGCAATGGAGAGCTAGGGTAGAATTGGACTTGGCATAGTAATTAAAGAATCACCAAAGATCCACGTGTTTATTACTGTGACCAAAAGCAACTGGTGGGAGGAAGGGTTTACTTTGGGTCATGGTCCAGAGGAGGCAGTCCATTATGGCAGGGAAGACATGATGGCAGCAGCTGCTCAAGGCTGTGGAGGTGAGAAGCTGCTCACAGCTGCATACATCAGGGTGCGGAGAAAAGGGAATGCATTCAGCTTGTTTTCTTCTTTTAAAATTCTGTCTATTTAGTCTAGAATCCTGGTACATGGAATGATATTACCAACATCTGAGGTGGCTCTTCCCTCCTCAAATAGTTAAACCTCTCTGGAAATGCCTTCCTTTGAAGGTATTTCACAACCAGAGGTGTGACTCCTAGGCAATTCCAAATCTAGTAGCAGTAACAATGCAGATGAAGGGGCCGCCTGTAGCAGGGGCCGCCTGAAAATCAGGCTGCACTGCTAGCTGAATAACAAGTATGGTTTCAGAGAGCTTGTGACAATAGTCTAGTCGACTTTATACCTGCTTTCATCTCAAGCAGTTTGTGGGTGGATGAAGTGAACGGGGCTTGCTATGGGTCCTGGTAACCAAAGCTGGGTGGAACATTCTAACACCACTTTGTTTTTATGTGTTTGAGATTGGGTTGAACCTGGTTGTTGTATAAGTTTGATGCTGTTCATAAGAAGCATGTTTTAAAGGAATATAATCTGCCCCATAGAAGCTGCAAAAGCTCTGTGAGTTACACTAGGGGATGTGTCTGCTCATCTCATATGTCTTTTCTGACACTCCCACTCCAGAGGCCACACTTACCATGTACCCACAATTAGCCTTCAGTGTGCTCCTGTATATATAGACTATGTTACCCTGGTATGTACGTGCTGGAACACAGCACCATTGATCTGTACTTCTCAGCATCCCTGTGATGGCACTTGAACTGATAAACACTGAGTTACCACACCTGTCGCTGCACTGCTTGGGCTCTGCTGAGGCCCATGGCTAACAGCTGTCTCTTGTCTTATCAACAGCTTGTCAGGATGTCCAAGAGCCACATCAGCAATGAAGAAAGCAAAGCTGTCTGGAGAACAGATGTTGACTATTAAGCAGCGAGCCAGCAATGGTAACCACACCCTGGGGTCCCCAGCATTCCTGCTGTTTAGAGAAGTGGATGTCACTGCAGACCAGCTCTGCATCAGTGACTTAGCCCACTGTTTCGCGACCACAGAAGCAGAGATCATTAGACTCCACCTACATCCTATATCCCAAGATCTCCAGCACTGGGTCAGCTTTCTCACCAACAACCCGAGCATACTTTTTCTTCTTTTTTCCTTGCCCGCCCCCTCCCCCAAGGAAAATCAGAGACCTTGGGAGGATTTCATAAATAACAGCTAAGCCACACTAGTCCACAAATCCTAGATACAGCCCCACAGTCTATCCTCAGGTTTGGATCCCATAAACATAGTTCATTCACTAGCTAGAAGTCATTTGCAAGCTCAGAGTCAATGCCGTGGCACTTCTGGAGTTATCTATAGCTAAGCATGAAGAGAAGCAGTAGCTAAGTGTCAATGTCAGTTCCAGCCAAGATGGAGGACAGCTCTGCCCTGTTGTCTCAGGTCTCAAACTGTAAATGAGTTCCTTCTCATGGTGTAGCTACATGTTTTCTTTGTTTGTGTGTCTGCTGGTGCATTTCTTGTGGGAGCATGTTTCCAGGCATAGAGATGACACACTGACTAGTGTCTCTGAGTTCAAGAAGCCATGATGTCCCTTGCAGAAGATGATTGTATGGGTTGTGTCCTTCAGGGAACATTAAGGAGCCTCGGGATGTAGGATTGGTTTTGGCTCATGGCCTAAGGAGACTTTATTTAAAACACATAGAACAGGGCTGGGTAGAAAGCTCAGTAGGTAAATTCCCTGCTGTTCAAGCATGAGGGCCTGTATGAGACCCATGAGAAAAGCCAGTGGTGACAGCATGCTCCTCTAACCCTAAAGTTGTAAGGGAAAGAGACAGGCAAATCCCTGAAGTCAATATAGCCTAATCAGTGAGCTTACAGTTCAGTCATTGGTTCTGTCTTTTAAAAAAGAGAGAGAACAACCAAGTAAATACATCCAAATCAGAATTTGGGCCTCCACACACATGTACACACACCTTATACACATACAACACCACACATAAATAAAAAGCAAACAAAAATTCAGAGGAAACACACAGAACATGTCAGCTAGTGAGGAGCTGATCAAAACCAGGGTGTCAGAATCTGGCAGTACCTCCTAAGCCTCCCTGAGACCCAGGGCTTCCCTCACTCATCAGCCAAGCTGGTTCCAGTAAGAGACCCAGGGCTCAGCACTCCCCCAGGCAGGTTGGTTCCAATAGCCACTAAGCAGAATCTGTGAGTAAGATTTGCAAGTGTTGGGTGCATCCTCACCAAGAAGTTCCACCTGTAGTGTCAGCATTCAGAAACAGTCACTCTGAAGCCAGAATGGTAGAGTCCCTGACCCCTTTTGCATGACACATCCTGGATGCATTAGAAATATAGTAGCCAGGGCTGAGACATCATCATTTCAGACTGATAGAGCCACAGTAACATCCCAGTTCAGACCCTAGACTCTAAGTTATGCTTCTGGTCGATGGCTGTCTCCTCTAACCCCAGATGAAGGCCAATTGCAGTGTGCAGGTACCTGGGCTCACGTCACGCCCTCTCTGTCTGTTGTTTCATATTATTTGATGTCCTAAAGGTAGTGCAGTGCATCTGCCTACAGAAACCTTTCCTCTGCCAGTGACAGGTGTAAATAACAACATGTAGCTCATCATTCTCCGGAGACATACCCACATATGTAGTGCCAACTTAGGGACTTGGGCACTATGAGCCAGTGTCCCTTCTGCCCAACACAAAGGCCGGGGAAATGGAAGTCAACTAGATTTTCTGCTTTTCAGAAGGTCTGGGTCCCATCTGCATGCTCACCTTGGCACCCCAAACAATCAGCACAAAGAGCTTGCATTGAAACACCTGCAGGCAATGTCCACCACTCTCTTGCTCACTAAGAAACCAAGGTCCTTGCCAGAAAGAAGATAGGCACTGAACTCCAGCCAGGCAGCAGGCACTGGCAAGACTAGCCCTGGTGCTAAGGTGAACACCTCTTAGGAGGTTGTTGCTCTAAATCTGTATCACTCATCAGTAAAGAAAGTAGTCATTGGACAAGGAACATTTCAAAGGAGAAGAGAAGGAAGAAGCTCGAGGGACAGCTCACACTGGACAGCCCCATCTAAACAGCATGGGCAGGCAGCTCTCAGCTTCAAACTTTCACCCCTCTGCCAGCAGCCCTGTTTTTGTGTGTGTATTTTGTTTTGTTTTTCTTGTTTTTTTGTTTTGTTTTGTTTTTAACCCTCTATCTTATAGTAAAACATTTTTGTTTGGTTTTGTTTTCTGCCCACTAAAAGCAACCCCACAGACCTCTCTCTTTCTCTTCTTTGCTAGATAGAACTCTTGGACAAACACTACCTCCCTTCAGCCAGGCTTCACGGTGCTTTGGGGTGTCTCTGGCCTCCATTCTGGGACCCTCCATCTGCAAAGCATAAAAACAGATTCGGCAAGGCCTGCCCTATTGCATACTTGCCCATTGGTCTGCAGGAGGGACAGGTGACCAGTGATACCCACAAGCCCAGGATTGTCATGTTTGAGGATAATGAAATCTAATTCTTAGGTGATTTGTGTGTCCTCAACCATGTAAAATCACATAGTCCCTGCCATATTGATAGTGATGATACAAAGTTGTCAGCAGCAGAACAAAGCAGACCAGATGTTGAAAATATCCATTGTAAACACAGGCAGTTACATATGCCTGGGTTTGCAGGACTGGCTTAAGGAGACACCTAGGCTCTTGCACATTGGCATTTGCTGGCCTGGACTGCTCAGGCCTAGATAGTCAGGTTCACACCCTTCCCAGTTTTGAAAAAGTCTGGGGTCAGATTCTTTTAGGGCTCATTATGGAAGCCTGGTGTGCAGGACATTATGTGCAAAAAGTGATGAGGAGTATAGCTAGGAGAATAAAGGGTCAGCAAAGCAACTTCTGCCCAGAGTCAAAGGGCCCCAGATCCTGAGACTTTGGGCATTCAGCTCAAATCTTACCTATCAGGACCAAGGTTATTTCTAGAAGGTCTTTACTTTCTCTCAGTGCCCTGCTCATAAGGCAGGCTGGGGTGGGGAAATAAAGACATACACATTGTGATTCTTTATAAATTCAATGATACATTTCCCAAGAAAATTCAGTTCCAAATGGAAAAAGAACAGAGAAAACAATGTGTTCCTGCAGCAGTGTTTTCAGGCAGTATTGCCCTAACGTGATGATTTTGCCATTCCAGGTATAGAAAATGATGAAGAAATCAAGCAGTTAGATGAAGAGATAAAGGAGCTTAACGAGTCCAATTCCCAAATGGAGGCTGACATGATCAAACTCAGAACTCAGGTAACAGTTTGTGAAGCCACAATTCTAGCTCCGGTGTGGAACCCTGCTTCTTGCTCCTCTGTGCTGCTATGTGCCTAAGCTGGCCTAGAACTCCTGTGTCAACTGTCAGAGCACTGGGCTTTCAGGCATGTGCCAGCATCCCTGGCTCCAGTTCTAGCTGTAACATGAAACTTTTAATTCTAATTCTCACAGAGTAGCAATCCTTGTACCAATGTCAAACCCTAGTTCTGGTCCTCTGATGGCACCTCAGTTCTGGTATCAGCAATTCAGCCTCAACTCCAGGTCTAGCATGGCGCCTCAATGCCAGTTTTGACAGAAAGCCTCTGTTCTAGTGGTAGTTAGTGCTGTTGCTTAGAGAGGGAGGGAAAGCACCTCCTGGGAGAGGTGAGGTTTCTTTGTTTTCCCATTTCTCCTCGATTTTCCCCCAGTGGGTAACGTTGCCTTCTGTAGAATCATTGCATGGTAATATTTTTGTAACACAGAGGCCATATGCTATCCACCTACCTATGTGTACTTTTGTGTTCAGCCATAGTGTGAATATGTGAATTTGTGAATAGCCATTCCCAGAGTATCACCTGCTCTATGAAAGGTGTGGGTTTTCTTGCAAGGTCTTTTAAACCGTTAGTGTTATTTGATCATTTTACATCATCAACAGTGATGGTGGGAGCTCCTAAGATTTCTGAGAAGCATTGTCTATTGCCCGTGTCTCTTAGCACATGGACTGATCTTGCATTTATATGTGAGTTCCCAGAATTTCATGGCCAACTGGGAAGATGAGGGGAGAGCTTCTTGGAGCACTTAGATGAGTGTCTACTAACAGAGGAGCCTTCCCAGCCCTGCTTGACAGTCACTATGGCACTCACTGTGGCAGGTGTCACCATGGACACACATGTCACACATGACCACTCAGGTCCTCGGTGAAGCACTTTTCTCCCAAGGCTGCATCATGCTCCTAAACTATGCATTAACACGGAGGTAAACTGGAAGCAGATTAAGGCTGCAATAACTTCTGTCAGGGTCACACTGGAACCAGGAATAGAAAAAAATCACAGCCAGGGTTGTTGTTCCACTTAGGTGACTGGAGTCCTGCTCAGGAAGATCCCAGACTTAACTTTGGCAAAGAACTATAGGGTAAATCCTTGAAAGAAAATTGATGCTCCATCTGGGTATTTTGGTGTCTCAAATCCTTGACCAGTGACAGAAAAGTTCCCCTGCCACCCACCCACATTAGTCCATTTCTGTTGCTGACGTATACAATGCTATAGAGGTTCAAGGTGTGGAGAAAGCAGCCCCATTTTCACTCATGGTTCTGGAGACCCAACATCAGGGGCCACATCTGGTGATAGTATTCTTTCTGCTAGAGTCCCCAGATGGTATGGCTTATCACATGGTGAGGGACAAAGAGTATGTGTGCGTGCGTGCGTGCGTGCGTGCGTGCGTGCGTGCGTGTGTGTGTGGTCATATAGTCATTTTTCCTCCTATAAAAGTACCAGGCTCCTATCGGCCAACTATGGGTCTACCCTGACAACCTTTCCTCATAGTAATCACCCACACAGGCTCCATCACCAGTATAAGTGTTTAGATTAAGTTTTCACTCCTCACAGTAGGTATTAAATGCGAAGCACAGGGATACACAAACCCCATCCAAAACATAGTGCCTTTCTCTAACCTAGGGCCATTGTTGTTAACCATCCAGTGTGTTCAGTTCACTGTCTGCTGTAAGAATTCAATTTGAGTGGCAAAGTTAACTACTTACTGAACAGGTGAGCCCACCATTTGGTAATATATTCCAGCAGTGTTTGTGGTCAAGTTGGTTCAACCAAGATGGTTTCTGTGATTCCTAAGTGTTCTGTGCTTTGCAGCTATATATACAAAGTCAGTCTCTTTGGCCCTATATAAACTTGGATCAAAGGTCCTAGGCACCCAGACACCTCTCTGGGCCAGCATAATGGCCAAGGACCATATTCACTTCATTCCAATTCAGTTGTACTCAATGCAACACAGGGGCTCAAGGTGTGTTGAGCACTTAGATGAGCGCTCCCAGACCTCAGTCTCAATTCATTAAGTTAAGTACAACACATCTCATCCAGTCAAACTCAGTTCTCACCCACTGTATATAAATTTTAACAGCTTATACAGAGGCACAAGCAGAGAGCTACAAAAGTGAGTTGAGCACACTCTGGATCAGGAAAACAGAAATTGAATATATGCCTGGTAGAGAACAAGAAAGAGAAGACTAAGACTCATGAAACAAGGCATGGCGGGGGGCAGTAAGGTGGATGTAAGCTGGGTGACTGTGAGATGGCCCAGGAGAGAGAGGATGCCATGGGCGATAGGAAGGGAACATTCTAGCACAGAAAATGCAGGAGCAGAAGGAAGAGGGTTGATTGGAAACCTGTAAAGAACCTGTATTCTGTTGTCCCCAGTTGGGCTCAGCAGTTTTATTGGGGAGGGAGAAAAGAAAGACATGCTAGAACATGAAAGAGAAATCATATCTCAGACAAGATTGCTAATGAGAAATTCCCTGGCATCTGGCTCTGTCCTTTCTAGTTTTGTGCTAAGTAGACCGGTGTCAGTCTTGCAGCTGGTCTTCAGCTGCTGTGTTTGTGAACCACTCATCAGATTGTGGTTTGTTTTCTCTGTGATCTAAAATTCTCTATGTAACTCAGTCTCGGTCTAAACCCTAAATACCTCTAATTTGATCCCACTTCAGTCTCATAGGGTAGTAGACAGCAGGGGACCACTTTGCTATGAAGCTTTCCTCAAGTCTCCCTCCAGTGACTCACCCTGTCTGTGCATCTTCTGCACACATCTGTGTAGTGTCACACTGGCCTTGGTTCTTAGCATCCAGGAACCACAGAACAAATGTGTTGGCTTCTGGACCCAATAGCCTTTGTCATGATAGTTCTGTTCCAGGCTCCTGGCTGCTGCCATACAGCTCTATACAGCACTGTGCGTGAGTTAACCTGAATGCATCACAAAATGATGTCATTCTGTTGGGTTTACTATACCCACTGAAAGAAGCAAAAGAGGCTCATACATCTCTCAAGAATGGGCCTTGAATTGTGTTCGATCTCTAGTAACTCCTTCTGACAGAGGCTATCTTGGAAACACTTAGGCCCAGAGGCAGATAGAGCCCAGCAGGCAGGCAGGTAGACATGAGACTTGCTCAGGAGGAATAAATCTGTAGTGTGTGATTGCCCTTTGCACGCTTCCATGTTGGCTTAAAGATGCCCCAATCCTCATGACCTTCTGTCATGATCACAGAGGACCAGTGAGTCCCCAGAGATCAGATCCATGCATGCTACCTGAGTGAAGAGCCAGCATTCTTCCCTGAGGTCCAAAACAGGCACATTCTGACCCAGCCCTCATCTTGCAGCCTGGCTCTTCACATACCACTGTGGAAGACCAGTACTTTTGGGAGAGCCTGGGGCGGGGGAAAGAAATGCCCCCCTATATAAACTCCCCATGGCACTCCGACTCTGAGAGTGGCCACTGTGTATCGTAGTTTTGACAGCTTCAGTAGAATTAAGCACCCCAGGAAAACAGATATCTTGCTGCCAGTGTACATAGAGGCTCCTGCCTATCCAAAGAACAAGGAAACTAGAAAAAAAAAAAAGACCTAAGGAAGCCAGGATTAATAGTCTGAGTGGACTCCCAGGGTCACAGTACCTTAACATAGGTCTTAGGCATGTGATCTGAGTCCACAGGAGAAACTGAGTGCAAGGTCCACTTGGAAGCTAGAAAGCCAGATGGTTGAATGGAAGAAGAAAAGATTGTGAGACTTAGAGGTGCCTACAATTCTGCTGTGTATCCAAACACCCTCTGAATGGCACCCCACACATGGGCTGGTGTACATCTAAACAACCTGGGGCTGGTGGGGTTAGTCTATACATGGAGATTGAAATTTACAGGCCACAGTTGCAGCCTGAGCTCCCTTTCTGAGTGGGACTTGTACTAGGCCTTCCCACAGTATCTATACTTTCCTCTATGGCTTAGTGGCATCTACACATGAGATTTGCTTGTTTTGAGAACAATGCAACTCAAGTCTCTACCTTCTCTTGGGGGGGGGCAGGGGTGCTCCTGGAAATAAAGTGTCTTTGACTGGAAAGACACTTTAGCTTCCTTCAGACATGTGAGTGGGAAATGCAGGTTAGAGGGGGAAATTATCTGAAACAGCCCTATGAATGCTGGTGGCTGTATCAAGGTATAGCCTGAGTCTTGACCCACTCAGGTTTCTCTGATTATTCCTGTGAAGTCAGGCTTATGGGTGTAAACCCATTGCACAGCAGAGAGAAAGATAACACACGGAGAAGTGGGCCTAGAGCCCTGCAAAGGTTTCCTGAGATGGAGGACCATGGTGGCCCTAGGCACAAATGTGAAGGGTTGGATCCCGGGAACCTATATGGCCAACAATTAAAGCATAACTGCGTGGCTGGCAGAGAAGCCATGATATCCATTCAAGGAGCTACCAGGATTATTGTCCCCACTTCCCCCCGCTTCTCCCTCTGGCCATCCTGCCACCTCTTTGAAATATATTTTAATCCCAGTTGCCAAGAACACAGGAAGCCTTGGATTCCAGACCTAGCACCACACTAACTGGGTAGAGTTACATCTGATTGTAATACCAGCACTTGGGAAGTGGAAGCAGGAAAATCAGAAGTTTAAGGTAGTCCTCAGCTACATGGCAAGTTTGAGTCAAAAAAGGGGGAGTGGCAGGTGTAGTTAGTCTCTCATCCTGCCTGCCAGTTGAGGTTTAATATTAATTATAATTGTTTGGCCAATGGCTCAGGCTTCTTACTAGTTAGCTCTTATAACTTAAATTAACCCATTTTTATTAATCTATTTATCGACATGTAAGTCGTGGCTTTTACCAGTCTGCAGACATATTGTTCCTTGGAGAACTGGATGGCGGCTCCCTGACTCTGCCTTTTTCTCTCTGTTTGGATTTCCCGCCTAGCTATATTTTGCCTGGCCATTGGCCAAAGCAGCTTTATTCATCAGCCAATAAAAGTAACACATATTCTCAGTGTACAGAAGGACATCCCACATCATTTTCCGTCTAATTAAAAAGGAAGGTTTTAACTTTAATGTAGTAAAATTATATATAACAAAACAGTTATCAAGCAAAAGTTACAGTTACAACATTTAGTCTATTTTTGTATTTGGCAAAATTAAATAAGATATTCTATCATCTATCCTATCTTTGTCAGTTTAAAGTTTTATATCTAGTTTAGCTTTTATCATAACAAGAAAAAGTATCTGTCTTCAACTTCATCAAAGACCCCAGAAGGATATAATATTACCTAAGTAAACTGGAAGTGCATTGTAAGCAACTTCCAAAACTCTAGAAATAACAGCTATATCTGGCTGCCTGGACAGTCACCCAAAAAGGAACCTGCATAAATTGATGTCCTCTGTGCTAACCCACCAGCCAACCACTGGCTCTAAGGAATCAAGCTGTCTAGAAGAACACATCTTCGGCCATGGGCCCAAGGATTGCTGCCCCTAGGGCCTCCTTCCTAAGGGGTGACTGCTTACGCATCCACTTCTGGGCCTGGGAGGTATCACTGGGATGGTGTTTTAGTAACTGTTCTATTGCTATGAAGAGACACCCTGACCACAGCAACTCTTTTATAGGAAAACATTTAATCGGATGCTTGTTTACAGTTTCAGAGGTTTAGTCCATTGTCATCATGATGGGAGCATGGCATCAGACATGGCAGGCTGGAGACGTAGCTGAGAACTACATCCTGATCCACAAGCAGAGGGGGTAGGGAGGGAGGGACTGGATCTAGCATGGGTTTTTGAAACCTCAAAGCCCTCCCCCAGTGACATACTTCCTCCAACAAGGCCATAGCTACTCCAACAAGACCACACCCCCTAATCCCTGTCAAGTCCTGGTGACTAAGCATTCAAATCTATGAGCCTACTTGTGGGAGAGGGGGGCATTTTTATTCAAACCACCACAGATGGAAACATTAAATTGACAAAAAAAAATGCCAGAATGTTGACCTGGGTGTCAGGGGAGGAAAGCATATGGCTTCAAGGGTTCCCCCACCACCCTATAGGACAAAGGGAACATGTTCCTTCCCTGGAGAAGTCCTACTAACAAACACTGCTGCTTTGTTTCTCAGATATACTGACTATCTCTCGGAATTTCATAGGCCCCAGCTATAGGTGAGAGGTGAGAGCCTAGAATTTAAGCCAAGTGCAATTAAAGGATGACATGAAAGTGAAGGAGAAACTGAGGGATAGAGACACCCATGAGAGAGGACCTCAGTGTAGGGGACACATGGCAAGTCCTGAGCATGGCACATCTTAGCTTCCCAACCCTGTGAGGTGGAGGGGAATTCCCACCTGATGCTAGCACTCAAACCCGTGACTTTGGTAAATCTCCATTTCTTCCAGACTTCTTAAAACAGTGGTTCTCAATCTGTGGGTCGAAACCCCTTTAGGGGTCACCGAAGACCATTGGAAAACACAGATATTTACATTATGGTTCATAACAGTAGCAAAATTACAGTTATGAAGTAGGCATGAAAATTTTACATTTGGGTCACCACAACATGAAGAACTGTATTAAAGGCATTAAGAAGGATGAGGACCACTGTCTTATGAGAAGGAGGCCAAACCAACAGATCAGTCAAGCCTCCACCTGCATACACCCACTAGCCAACCACATGGACACAGACCACCCTTCAGAGCAGATAGCAACACCACAGAAGGAAATTAACATTGATCCTATAGATCCATGCAGTTCCCACAAGACAGCAAGGGCAGATGGGCAGGTAAAACTACCCAGACTTGAGAGCAATCAGTGAAGGGAGAGCAAGCAGGCTGGGAGGACACCTTCATGGGTGCTGTGGCCAGCACCATGTGTTCAAATGTAAAGAATCAAAGACACCAACCCAGGTCCCTCAGATGGAGCCTCTGTGCTCAGGCAGAAAGCGTCTGTCCTCGTCCTACAGCCTGGTCCCTCACAGCCAGTGTGCACGCTCCCTGCAGCCTGCCTTATGTTACATGTCACCCAAATGTGTGATTTCAGATCACCACAATGGAGAGCAACCTAAAGACGATTGAGGAGGAGAACAAAGTCATCGAGCAACAGAACGAGTCGCTCCTGCATGAGCTGGCCAACCTGAGCCAGTCCCTGATCCACAGCCTCGCCAACATCCAGCTGCCTCACATGGTAAGTGACTGAGCCCAGGTGAGCGCCTCGGAGCCTCCGCAGTCCACCTCACTGAGTAGATGTCTGTTTCATTGTCCATGGTCCTTCAGTTTTTGGTTGTTTTTTGGTCACCACCCTGAAACCATACCGCTAACTGCTAGAAACATTGGTGGGGCTGATCATATAACATTAAGTGTGCTCTGAGTAGGCCTGTTAAGTATTATGGAAACAGTGGCTCTATGCTATGATGCTGTTTTATGCTTTTGTGAATATACTATTCAGAAAATAAAAGTTGTATATGAACTACTATTTAATATCTCGTAGGATCCAATCAATGAACAAAATTTTGATGCTTACGTGACTACTTTGACGGAAATGTATACAAATCAAGATCGTTATCAGAGTCCAGAAAATAAAGCCCTACTGGAAAATATAAAGCAGGCTGTGAGAGGAATTCAGGTCTGAACAGCTGCTCTAGTGCTGACTCATGCTTAAAAAGGATGCCTCTTGTTTCTTGCTGCTGTAACTTACCAGAAAGTGTTATATATTTATTTCTGTTGGAACAGTGTTATGCTACAAGACTTCATAATGGTTTTGTGTGCTTTCGAGATAGTACCTGCAGACTAGTTTTGGATACATTCACATTTTGTACGTTTTCATATAAGCTGACATAGTGTGATTTGCCATGTAATGTTTATAGCTGCTGCTGTCTGCATATTTGGGGGTCTCTATATTTCTGAAGAGGTAAGCTGATCAAAACAGAGTGTAAATTCTTTTTAATGCTTTAGTGATTAAATGTTTTAGTATTTTGAACTGAAATGGACAAAAAGAAAAAAGGGAAAAAAAGCAGGTTTGAATGATCACTTTGTGGCCACATGGCCACTTTTAGACATTATCATTTTGCCTCAGGTTGGAGGACTTTGTGGAATTTAAGAAATACATTTTGTGTGCATATTGTTTCATAGCAAGAATTGGTTGCAAAAAAATGCTTTATTTTTGAACAATGCTTGGAAATATTATGTGACTTTTTTGTTTGTTTGTTTTAGGAGGATGGTGTATGGTGGGGGCAATAAATGAGGTTTTTTGCATTCCAAGGAAATGGCATATGGATTAACTATAAGAAATGAAATAAGTAATTTATTGTAAGACAACATCAAGCCATGGAAACTTGGCAGAAGATTCAAAGCAGCTTAAACAGCACTTTTAATTAACTCCTAGACATTACATGGTGGGACTGTGGAAACTCCGTTAACACAGGAGCTTGTCAGAGGTGGACAACACGAAGATTTCCTTTGCATTTTCAGTAACCTTTGGAGCACCCTTCTCTTATTTCTCCTAGAGCCCTGTGCCCCTCTGAACTGTTACCACAATATAGCTTACCTAGCAGAAGTTGATTGTTTTTCAATTTGAGAAAAAAAAAAGGTAATTTAAGCATTTATCTCCCCTTTTCACTTTCAAAAATCATCATCATTCGTTATTCTTGTTTCACATCTGAGGATGAAGGCTAACGGCTGTGATTGCCCCGGTTACTGGATGGGATTCTCTGCTGGGCGGGTGGGAAAGCAGCTCTACCCTTCCCTGTCCTTACCTGCCCCAACTCTGACTTTGAATAAGCCTTGGTCCTATTCAGAACACTCTGGACACCAAGGCCAAGGACGTTCACGTTCTGCCCCCGCTGGGTCCAGCTGACTCTAGCGTCTGCACAGCCTTGTTTGGTTTATGGTGACCTAACCTGAGAAGGAATGCAATCAGATTTTAAAGTTACTAAATATACTTCAGCACTTTTTTTGCTTTAAACTAGATCATCTTAGACTTGTTGATACCTTTGAAATTTGATGGTCTCATCCCAAATGACTGCACTATATGTATGCATACGGCCACTTTTGATTGCTGCGCCCCCTTCTGAGTAGTCTTTGACAATGTGTTGTGTTCCCCGACGTCGACTTGATTTCCTTTTAGTAGCATCTCTCTCTTCCATGTCTTGATGTTATGCAGGAAGTACAAAAGTACTTTAAAATTTTGTTATGAAATAAATAAAAAAGATGGGTTTTGTAAAAATAAAAAAAAAATATTTTTAGCAGAACAGGACTTACAGGGTCATTGTCCCCACAATGTGCCAGTCGGCTCTTTGCACTCGCCTTGTCCTATATATCTGTACGGAGGTGTGCAATCCTGTGTCAGTCGCCTTGTGACACTGAAGTGGATGAGTTATAGAGGAGGCCCTCAAGGCTGACCCAATACGGTTACTAAGGGAGACTACAGGGATCTCACAACAAATATTCTGATACAATACTCAACCTCGGTATATATATATATGTATATGTATAAATATAAGAATATCCCAGCGGCACTTTATACTGTTCACTGTACAAAAGCTTACAGTTTTCCACAAGGACTTTAATACCTAGCTGGGGAAAAGATTATGTAATTACTTGGGGCACTGCAGGACCTTCTCTGTCCAGCGCCCCCTTTCTGTTGTGCGATTAGTTGTAGCTGCCACGCTCAGAATTGCCTTTTTGAGAGCTGAAGCAAGGTGCTTACTGTCACCTGATGCCATACACATGGTCCCAGGCCCCCATCCAAGGGGGAAGGGGGGGCTCTGTTCATAGCGGCACATGCATTTCCCCACCGCGTCTTGTCTGCAGCTTCCTGGCCAATGTAGTAATGCTTTTAGTAGAGTAATAGGTAGTATCAGTTTGGATTCTTATTGTTATCACCTATGTACAATGGAGAGGGGTTCTAAGCACAAACCTGCTGCTCATGTAACGTTGGTACATAATATCAAATCAAAAGTTATCTGTGACTATATATAGGGATCACACAGTGTCACATGTTAGAATGCTGACCTTCCACATGGGGTTATTGTGAGTCATCAGAGCATATTTATTATAACTTATTGTTCATATTCATTTCTAAGTTAATTTAAGTAATCATTTATTAAGACAGAATTTTGTATAAACTATTTATTGTGCTCTCTGTGGAACTGAAGTTTGATTTATTTTTGTACTACACGGCATGGGTTTGTTGACACTTTAATTTTGCTATAAATGTGTGGAATCACAAGTTGCTGTGATACTTCATTTTTAAATTGTGAACTTTGTACAAACTTTGTCATGCTGATGTGAACACATCTTACTCTGAATAAAAAGGTGTTGCCACGTTTGTAGCACGAAGGATCTCCATTGGGTCCGAGTCTTCACTGGAGCCTGGAGTGCCATCTGGGCTCCTGGAATCCTTACCCCTGGTCTCTTGCCTGTGGGATTGGGCTGGAAGCTGGGGGCATGCGTGGAGGGGTGGTAGTCCTCGTGCATCCTGTTCACTGTGCTTCCCAGAAGGGTGGTGTTGCCTCCTTTACTGTCACTCCCGTCCCTCACCCCTGCCCTATCTGAGATCCAGCCTGAGCAGCTGAGGTTGCTTCAGTGCAGGTGTCTCCCAGCAGCTTGGCTTGAGAGTTACCGTTCTGTAACTCTCACTGGCAACAGCACTGCTGTTAGTGACTGTAAGCCCATATCCAGAATGCCAAGTGGACTGTAGTGGCTTTCACGGGTCTTCCTTACCCAGAATTCAGTCTGTGATAACAGTCTGGTTCAGGTATACTCCACCAACTACAGCGCCATTTGTCTCCCACAACACAGTGGCTTCAAGGGGCCAGTGTGGTTACTTCACAAAATGTCCCACGTTGGCTTCTGTGATTGCAGCCTTGTGGCTGATTAATTTTAATGGGGTGCTTTGTTCATGTACGTAACAGAGCACATAGCATCACATGGCTGTTATTGGTTACTAAGCCCAGGAGCTCACAAAGGATACAGTGCTGCTTTCAGACTGTCAGTAGAGCAACAAAGTCACCTATGAAACGTCACTGGCCTCTTAAATATGACACATCATCCTATTAATAAAATTTTAAAATCCAGCAATACCCTCCTGTAGCATGCACAATCCCCTAATACATAGAGGCTAAGGAAACAGCCCCTGAAATGTTGGTTAAACTGGAACCTCACTCCCAGTGGTACCTTCTGCTGCTAAACACTTGGGTTCAAGTGAGCTACTCAAACCCAGTTCCAGAAGACTCTTTCTTGGAGAGCTGGCAGCAGCAAGAAGGTGCCTGGAGCCACAGTTCAGCTCTCCCAACACCAGCAGGTAAGTGGTGACTCTGTACCCTGGTGCCTTCATTTCTGCCTCAGACCTGCCTTTGGGGCTCTGTCAAATCCCATCTTTTGGATCAAATAAAGCTAATGAAGGGCAGCTGTCAGTGTCTCAGGTCAGCAGCCTAGGAGCAACCCTAGAAGCAAGGTCATTATTTAAAGCAATTTAAATAATGTTCAGAATCTTAGAAAATTAAAAAAATAAACTCAATGTTTCCTAGCATTTGTCCTGAAAATATAGAAACAGTTGTGAATAGATTAAAAAAAAAAAGTCCCAAAATCCTATGATAGAGGAATGGGTGAATAAATCTGATTCATGCACTTTGTAGAGCGTCACAGAAGTGCTTAATACCAACTGTGATGGTGTTAAGACAAGGGTAAGTGGCCAAAACCCAGGGGCCAGTGTCAAGGTAGGCTGGGTACACACAGTGTTCACAGGTAACCCAGAGACAGAGTGCAGTGTCGGGGTGGGCTGAGTGCTCACAGGTAACCCAGAGGCAAATCACAGCACTGGTATAGGTTCAGCAAGAACAGAGCAGGAGAAGTAGGACAGGAAAATACTCCCAGGTCACTGCCCCAAGAAAATCAGAGGAAAAGGGGCCATAGCTCCCAACACAGCACTTCTTTGTGAAATTACACAGGCAAGACAAACAGTAGACAGAGTGGCATCCCATACTTGTGTCTAAGAACCCTTTGTCTGAGACTTTCCAGTCTTCCCAGATTTATCAGTCTCAAGGAGAAGGGCTTGGTCATGTATTTCTCACCATGGATAAAAAATTTGATGATTGATTGGTTGATTGGTTGATTGAGATTGATTGATTTGGCTTTTCCAAACAGGGTTTCTCTGTGTAGCTCTCTCTGGCTGTCCTAGAACTTGTTCTGTAGATCAGATTAACCTTGAACTCACGAAGAACCACCTGCCTGTCTCCCAGGAGTGCCGGGATTAAAGGTATGCATTACCACCACTCAGCTTGAAAAAATAGAAACCACAATACCCAAATACAAGAGCTAGGGCAGATGACAGAAGAAGCCATGGTCTGGGACCACAGCAGATACCTAGAGTGCCAAAGAAGAGCTTTGTAGTGTCCCTTCTTCCATGGGCATTAAAACAGCTTGGCAGGCACACAGGGTGCAGGGACAGGGAGATCAGGTGACAGCAGAAAATGACACCTTTAGGCCATGGGCAATAGGCACTGACCAGCCATCCACAGGGGAACCTGCAGAGTGTCTAGCCACAGCTCTCATCACTGGGAGGGTCAGCACCCTCTCCCAGCCCTTCCTCAGCACAACCAGGATTGGGCTTCCTTTCCACTCACATTGACCTTATTCTCTGGCAGCAGACACACCTCTTGCTGCCTCCTCCCAGTTGATGTTCAGACAGACACTGTGTACTTGAACCCAATAAGATTGCACAGAGGAGCCAGGGTCTTAACCAACAGAAACAGGCAATTTAACTATGTGCCAAGGAAACATTCAAGTAGTACACTTTGTCTTTCCATTTCAATTGCACACACACACACACACACACACACACACACACACACACACACACACAAGAGAGAGAGAGAGAGAGAGAGAGAGAGAGAGAGAGAGAGAATCACCAAGGCGACTCTGAGCCAAGTGGGAGTGGGGAAAGTGCAAAGATCAAGTACATCCAGTGCACAGTAGACACTTGTTCTGCCCTTTTTGGGCCCATTGGATTGTGACCCATCCTCACTTCAAAGGTTTTCTCCCTTCTCTTCTCCAAACTATAGGGGATCCACTTCCCAGTTATGTATTGCTTCTATCATATATGTTGCCTCGAGTCGTTTTTTCTCCAGCAGAACAAGAAAAGAAAACAAAGAATAAATGAGTACCCCCCAAAAATCATCATGTTACATGTGGGAGGCTTAATGATGAAGGAAATCTGTAAATGGAAGGAAAACATGAGGGAGGAGATAGGGAATGGGATCCCAAACCAGTCACTTCCCAAGGCATAAGAAGTGACATGGTCTCAGGGAAGTCACAGCTTCTCTGTCCTGCTAGTGGTCTGTGGTAGTTGTTAGGAGAGATGTGTCCCCACAGGCTCCTGTATTTGAACACATGGTCCCAAGTGATGGAGCTGTTTAGAGAGGCTGTGGAACCTTTGGCAGATGGAGTGTTGCTAGAGGAAGTGGGGACAGAACTTGAGTATTCATAGCCTCACCCCACTTCTAGTTTGTTCTCTCTACTTAGTGTTTTCAGGTAAAGATGTGATCTCTTAGCTTCTTGCTTTGGTGCCTGCTGCCATGCCTCCATGGCCTTGATGGACTCTGCATCTGGAACCAGTGAGTCCAAATAAATTCTTTCATGAAGTGCTTTTGGTCCTGGTGTTTTATCACAGCAATAGATGAACAATTAATGCAGGGTCTGGGTTCATTCTGATATCATGTTGCTGTAGCATGTCGTGTTGAGTCCCAACATTGTTTCCTCGAGAGGCAGTCCTGTCCTGCCAAGGTGGTCAGCAGAAATCATGAGAAACAAGGATGATCTTTCAGGTGCTGGCCACAGCTGGAAAGCTAACAGAAGTCTCAGCAACTGTTCGTTTGTCTCAGGTTCAGAGTTTTTATTTTACTTCAGGCCATATGTGAGATAGAGGCAGTAGATGCAAAATAATTTTTTCATCTAACATTTGTGAGTACAAAAAAACACATCTAAAACCACATAGAGAGTGGGCTGGGGAAAAAATGACCTTATTAAGTTCTCCAGTCAACCACCTAAGTTGGGTCTTTCCAATCACCTCTAGGTCCCACAGCAGCAGCCACCCCAAATACCAGGTTAGCAGAGGCCCATCTGAGAGCAGTCTGCAGCTTAGAAAATATCCCAGAAGAGAACCCTGGGCAGGGAACTGTGTTCCTTCCTCTACACTTTCCCAGAATATAGCAGATGTCTGCCCATGCCCAAACTGTCATAGGGGGTGAAGAGAATGCTGCCGCCTTACTTACTTCTCCACTGGGATGACACCTGACAGAAACACAGCCTCAAATACTGAAATCTAAGTAAATGCATCTTAAAACACAGGTGAGTACCTACCTGTCAGCAAAGGGTAAGGGCAGTGTTACTCCAGGTTCACCTTGGCATGGAGAATAGCCAACAGCAGTCTGGGAGAACAGGCTTCATTAAGGACAAACTCAAAGCAATTGCTCAAACTTGGGCTTCTAGCAGCACCCAAGAGA